CCAAATCCTGTGCCATCTCTTGCAGGCTCTTCCTTTTAGCATGGACTCTAGTCGTAAACCTAACACTGTAGACTTCGGACTGATTTTGAGTTCCATGCCTTCGATGACGAGGAATCCATTTTGAGACTTATAATGGTTGGAGACGGCTTGAATGGGTAATGAAGAAAAACTTTAATATAAGTTTAACATAACAGCAAATGTACAACGTTTCGACAAGGTTTTGTCATCATCAGGTACAACTAGTTTACACTGGCACAGATATATATATACAGTACGGAACAAAGAGGTCGCATGACCGGATACTTAGAAGAGATATCTTCGAACCCCAGGGTGTTGGCTTAGAGTAGGGTTTGTTTAGTTCAATTAAAATGGATTCCTTGATTTTTCATTTGTTTATGTTTGGTTCTTTGTTTAAAACTACTGTGTTTTTGATAGATATACTATGTTTTTTGAGTTGCAATGGTGAAAAACATGGCACGGTTTTTTATTGTGTTCTGTCAATCTGGTCTCCAATTTTCTTCCTGTTTCTCCGATGTCGAATTCTGGGCAGTTATTGCATGTTATTTTGTAAATGACGTTGGTATTGTGTGTATAATTCTTGAGCTGGTTTCAGGAAAAAAAGGTAACTGCAGTGTAATGTATTGTTGTTGGGTTTGTTAGTGTCAATTTTGTTCGTGAGCTGAGTTTTATTGTGGGGAAAAATCAAGGAATCCATCTTAATTGAACAAAACAACCCTACTCTAAACCAACACCCCGGGGTGCCTAGATACCTCTTCTAAGTTTCACAACAGTTCCGGTCATGTGACTTCTTTGTTCAATCTGTATATATATATCCGTGTCAGTGTAAATTACTTGTAGCTGATGATGACAAAACCTTGTCGAAACGTTGTACATTTGCTGTTATGTTAAACTTATATTAAAGTTTTTCTTTATTACCCATTCAAGCCGTCTCCAGCCATTATTATATCACATATACTCTCACACCTATCACACATAGGGTTACACAGAATTATGCCCTATCGTACAACCAATTACATTTAATGTACGCATCAGCAATTTATTGAATTATAGTTATTGCTTTGGTTGTTGTTTCTCTTCAATGTATAGAGAAAAATAATGAAACATGTAATTTCAGTTTGATGTTAGATATTTTGCAAGAAAATTGTCTATGTATTGGTTGTGTTTTTAATGCCTCAAGTCAAATTTTCTCTTATTTTTATGTATTAAATCTATACTTAAAATAAGAAATAATTTACACAACCTTGACATCTTTAATATTATGAGTTTATCTGTATAATTTGGCAGATTTTTTGTGTATTTATTAACCAAAATAATATTAGACGTCTTCCCTTTGAAGGCAGCATGTGGTTTTCAATCGTAGCTCGGAACGTCAACACTCGAGGGCGCGCAAGTACCATAGCCTGGACTCCAGTGTCAGCATGGAAATAGAAACCAGCTGTGGGTTCTCCGACAATGCCTCATCACCAAGGTATTATTCAAGCTTAAAATACAAAGAAATATTAACAAAAAAGAATTCAATTACATTCTATTGTGTCTATAAATTTTCAAAATAATTCATTATTTCTTTTCTGCTATCCAATGCACTGCCTATTTAATACACCCTCCTTACGATCAGTGTACTTTACGAACAATTAAATAAACTATGGGAACTCGCTCAAACATTGAGTTGTTAGAGACTCTTTCTTATAGTATTTCTTTATGTGTGTATATATCACTTTGTGTTATTGTATGTTGAATACTAGAAAATATTTACTATTAATTATGCCCCATCCTTACAGTAAAAGATTGATAAAAAATTGGCATACTGGTATGAATTTTTTGATATATACAAATATAAAACAACATAGTCATGGAATGCAATTAAATATCTAAATATGTTCCATATCTTGAAATATATTTTTATCCGTATTTCTAATAAGGAACATCTTTGATCGTGATGGTTTGTTTATGTTTAACAAAAACTAAATACCTTTAATAATTAAAAAAAGTATTGCTTGCATCTTTGGTGAAATACAAAAAAATTAATGCTTTAATATTTTGGTCAGAGTATTTTTTATTTTGGTGTCTTTGGAACGTATTTATTTGTCAAGCGACATCTGCACCACATGGCTCAGCAGTAAGTCTGCCGGATTACGACGCTAAAAATGGGATTTCGATACCCGTGATAGGCAGGGCACAGAAAACCCATTGCATCAACAGCAGTCATACCAAACCAAATGACAACCAACGGGTAATATGAACAGAGATGATATAGCACGATGTCGTTTGTACTTACGAATCATTAGAATCATGGTATGAAATATTGACTACTTAACTGGATGAAACAGTTCATTAACGATGGATAAATAAATTAATCAGTCCATTTCTCTTTGACCTACGGTGATGGACTTTCGTAGATGGACTTAAGTCTACGAGAAAAATCCATTTCGTTACTCAAACGATTCCAGCAGCAAGTGTGGTCATGTAGGAATAAATGGATGTATGAGTTATAAGGTGAAACGTATTATAAGGTGAAGAAGAAAACAAAGAGGTTTTTGTTTTGTTTTATTTTGCACTAAGCTATTCGAAGGTTATTTGCACTAGCTAACCTTAATTTTGAAGTGATACACAAAAGAAAAGACAGCTAGTCAACATTACTCAATGACACCTCTCGGATTATTCTTTACCAGTGAATAATGGAATCGGCTGTCACTATATGCCCCCACTGCTGAAAGGACAAGCATGTTTGGTGAAAGGTTTCGATTCTGACACCAGCGAGCGCCCTAACTAACAGACCATATCAGACCCCTTAGATTTAAGCAGATCATTTAAAACACGATGTAACATCAGTCTGACCAGAAGTGGAACCACGCTGCTTTAAATTTGTATTTAACTTTTTTTTAAGATGGTGTTCGAGTCTATACGCCTTCAGAACTATTCTTCTTATACCCAAGTGAATCTAGTTGAAATCTTTAGATTGTAATTGAAGTAACTTTGTACAAAAGTAGAATGCTACAAAGTATTTTAACAATGATGTTTAACTATCTAGCCCATGTCGTCTAACTCATTAAATATAAAGTAAGCTACATTATCTTATTCATATTAGTTTACATTAGCTATGGTGTAAGTTCTGTTGTTAAGTCTTATTTATTACATTACTTCGATCTACGTTATACAATCTAAGCTTTGTCTACATTAATTATAATGTATATTAACTATAATATAAACTTTCTCTTCCTTAAATGTAGTCTAATTTTGCTTAAATTAGCTATGATGTAAGTTCTACAATCTAAGTTTTGTTTACATGAACTATACTTAAGTTTTGTAGCCTGAATATGTTTACTTGAGCTGTTATGTAAGCTCAGCAGTTTAAGTTTTGTTTAATTTAACTACGGTGTAAGCCAGCGGTTCCCAACCTTTTCACCACCAAAGAACCCATTTTATTAATATTTTTTTCCCCACAGACCCCATGATTTGTGAAAGATTCCATCTACCCAACAAACTGTTTTTCTTACTAATAATTAACTTGTTTTTCCATTTTTCACTATCAAACGAAAGACATATATAACTGAGTGTGCAATTAAAAGAACAGCAGAATTAAAAACTTACTTGTTTAATGAGTTGGTATTATCTTTGCGGACCTCCAGGGATCCGGAACCACAGGTTGGGAATCACTGGTGTAAGCTCTTTAATTTAAATTTTCTTTCCGTTAACTGTAATACAAGTTAAACAACCTAAGCATTCTTTTCATTAACTACATTCTAAGTCTTGTTTACATTAGTTATAAATGTTAAGTTCTACAGGCTAAGCCTTGTTTACATTAGTTATAAATGTTAAGTTTTGCAATCTAAGTCTTGTTTACATTAATTATAAATGTTAAGTTTTACAATCTAAGTCTTGTTTACCTTAGCTGTGATGTAAGCTCTACAGTCTTTTTACAATAGACTATAATGTATGCTCTACAATTTATATTTTGTTTACATTAGCTATGATGTAAGTGCTACAGTCTAAGCCATATTTACATTAACTATGTACTAAGTTATAAGTCTTATTTTTGTTTAGATTATCTATAATCTAAGCTATGCAGTCGAGATCTTGTTTATATTATCTTTGATATATGCAATGCAACCTAATTTTTGTTTGTATTATCTAAGGTGTAAAATCTATTTTAAAATTTGTTTACATTAATTAAGATGTGAGTTCTATAGTGCAAGTGTAGATTCCAGTAGCTATGATGTAAACTTATATCAACTAAAACATATGTCTTACAGTCTAAGTATTGTTTTCATCAATTTTTATTTTTTATAGTCTAAACTTTCTTTTCATTAACTTTAGTATAACTTTGTTTACATTAACTATAACGTTAGCTCTACATTCTACGTTTAATTTACATTAGCCATGATGCAAGTCCACAGTAAGATAATTAATGATAATTTCCCATCAGACCAAGATGCGTATTTATAGCGAAACTAAAGTTCAACTTGGCCATCGGTATAGCTAATTAAATTTACTTTTCTTATGTTTCTATTTATAGAGATTAGCATGCATTGTTTCGTCAGTTGGTTACCCTCGCTGTTAACGATATTCACGGCCATAATCTCAGGTTCGTCCAGCTTATGAGATCTAAATTAGTCCTAATTACGCATATTAAGTTAACAATATAAATCAATCTATAATTAAAGCATGGTAATAACGAATAAAATTACAAAGTAATAACATTCAATAGATTAAATAGTATAGCCAATACTGTTAATGAAAGTAACAGTAAATAAATAATACTCGAAGATAGCTTTTATATGCGGAAACATCTGTTAGATGAGTTCTTTCACAGATCTTAAAATATAACGTTCATAAACGGAAACATCGGCACATGTAGATATGTAGATCTTGAAAGTCGAGTTGTTCAAAACTTGAAAATAGCGTTAATAACTGGACAAATTGTTGGTTGAGATGTTGCAAAGGAAATATCTGCTGAAATTTTTCGACAGACACTAATCATAGCAGAACCGTCTGGAAAATGATCTATAGGAAATAGTACAGCTTATAAAATGAGTCAGATCAGTGTAGGCCGGTAAGGCAATCACTGATTGGCATGTCCTTAATCCAATCAAGAAATCTCACAGACCTACTGAAGGATGTGTATATTGTATAGGAGTTATTTTTTAGTGGCAAAGGACAGGTTT